TCAAATATGCTCAAGTTTGCAAAACGCAAAGAACTTTGCAGTAAGCAACACGGCTGCTGCAACATTGCAACAGCTTGTCATTGTTGTGTATGACAGAGTCGCTTCCGAAGATGGTAAGGTCTAGCCATATTTATAGCCGTTTATCGTATACTGACCTCTTGTTAAGAGAAAGCACTGGAAATCCCCACCGTGACCGAGGTAAAAGGTGACGATGGCCAAGTATCAGTTAGACCAGCAGCGAACGATGCTTACAAGGTTTGCATGGCATCCACGTTGGTCTGATCTTGCTAAATATGGCTAGATGTTTACCGATCTTATTTCGCTGATCGTAGGAGAAAAGCCCGTGTATATGCGATTCGCTTCGCTGCCACCATCTTCAATACTTGAACTCATCGAGGCAGTACTGTCAAATCACAACGAAATCATGACGACACATCCAGAGCAGATACACATCTTGCGGGCCCAACTCATGCCCCTCATCATTCGCTCTTTGTCTGACCGACTATCATTTCCAGTGACTGTGCGCATCATTCGGATACTACATCTGATTATTCGATATCATCTTGATATACTTCCCTCGGAATGCGAAATTGCACTCGGTCTTTTGAATCATATGCTTGATCCAGAGGCTTCTCAGGCATGGAAGAGAGCACTCTGCCTAGAGGTATTTCGCAGTATCTACGCCGATTCTAAGCTTCTTTTGGCCATCTATGCGCTATTTGACGCGAAAAGCGAGAAGAAGAATGTTTTTGGTGATAATTTAGCGGCTTTCGTACGGCTTGCCGCCGAAAAGCCTGCACTCATTGGCCTTGGTCAGCAATCAACAGCCGTCGTTGGGGCCGAAGACGGAAAACTAGCACTATCAGACCATGCTGTCGCTGAAGCAGGTGCTCTGGCCGGCGTCATAGGCGGCCCTGTGAGTGACAGTAGCAGTGGTGCTCGTCCTTTTGGAATCAGCACACAATGGAGCGCTCTCAAAACTCCTTGTATTGAACACCTTGACAAGTCCGACCCGCCTGTCTTACCAGATACCTATATCTATAGTTTGGTGTTGACATGCATCACCAACATTTCCGAGAGTTTGGCTAAGTTTGTCCTTCCTTTAACCGTACACCACGAAGGCCGAACCCGGAGGAAGAACAAAACTGACGACTCGAACGAGCCTGATACAGACGCTGCATTGCCAAATGAAGGTTCCAATCGGCTTTCGCGAACTCAATCTTTCCGCAAAAAAACTATACCTGTAAATCCTCTTGACCTCACAGAGCACTCCGCCTACGCCTCTGTGCAGACGTCGACAAGCTTGGTTACGGAGTGCTGGCCAGCAGTGCTTGCGACCTGCTCAACTTTTCTTAACGCCGCGCTTGACAACGACTATTACCGTGCCCTGGTTCGGTCCATACAAAAAATTACGCAGGTCGCTGGCCTTCTTAGACTTTCGACACCACGGGATGCATTTCTAACAACATTGGGCAAAGCAGCAGTGCCATCGAACCTGTTGCTAGCAAATGTACCGCCCACAACTTCAGCTTCAGCTGACAAGCCCGGGGTTTTCTCTAATGCCAAAGCCATACTGAGCGTAGACAGCTTTGTGAGTCAAAGCTCTTCCATGTCAGCAGACAAACATAGAGGCCCCCAAAATGAGTCGGCAATACCTGCTTTAACTCCTCGCAATCTGCTGTGTCTGAGGGCTTTGCTCAATCTGGCAATCGCATTGGGACCGACCCTCAATTCCGCCTGGTCGATTGTTTTTGAGACGCTACAAGTAGCCGACTTGGTTATGGCGTTTACAAGTCAAACAGGTAGTCGCGGGTCTGGACCTGGGCACGGAGATGGGAGTGCCGAGAAGCTGGAGGCAGAAACCTCAGCTGTACAGGCAGCAGCTCGCAGACTGTTTGAGAGCACCGTTGATTTCCCCAATGAGTCATTTTCAGAAGTGTTGCAAGCCTTGTGTTCCCTTCTAAACGGTATGGCTCCAGAGAGTGGTCAAAGGACACCCGTATCTTCTAGTCGTCCTCAGATCATGCATCAACGGCGTCTGGGTAGTGTCTCCGGAATCTCTCTAAATACCGAAACAAACCCTCGCGATTCAGCCTTTGCGTTGAACAAGATTGGAGAGCTCGCAACTTTGAATGAGAGCAGGCTGGCCCAGTACGATCCTGCAGAAAGCGGATGGAACATCCTTGTCAAGGAAGTTGTACAGTTTTCTACGGATAGCCGGAAAGCGACGACTACAAGGCTGCTTGCTGCTGACATTCTGGCAAGGACTGTTCGAGACATTGCTGAGCTATCCATGTCTGATGAACAACGTGAGGAAATCCAGGCTCGCATACTTACTGCGCTACAGAAACAGATTGCAGACCTCTACCACTACGATGGAGCTAACAAAGAGACCATTAGTGATGCTGACATGCGGGTTCACCAAGTTGCTCTTGAAGCACTCAAAAGTGTGATTGAGCAATGCGGTGAGTCACTAGTTGCTGGATGGGCATCCGTCATCGAGAGCTTGATGAGTGTATTTGTACCGGACCAGTCCTCTCTTCGAGAACAAAAACACGAGAACGAAAGGCCTCAAGTCGATAAGCGGCTGGATAACGCTCCAGAAGTCATTTCAAGATCTCTTGCCCGATCCGCCTTTGCAACAGTCAGCCTTATATGCTCGGATTTCATGACTGCCGTCCCAGATGCTTGTCTATCCACTCTGTTAGAGCTTTTGCGCAGGCTTTGTTCCCAGCAAGAAGACCTGAACATGTCTCTAACCGTGGGTTAACTATATGTGCATATGTTTCATCTCTAACATTATACAGGCGATCACCTTCTTCTGGAATGTATCAGACTACTTGCAATCCAAGGCTGACCTGTCTTCACTGCCAGAAGTTGTTGGAGAGACTGATGACACCAAACTTGCCGTTTCCAGTCACTCACAGAGTGGAGTAACTTCAGCCCTGTGGCTCCAGGTTCTATTGAACCTTTCTTCCATTACTGTCGACGAACGTGTTGAAGTACGAAATTCTGCAATTCAAACGATCCAGAGGATATTCGAGAACTGCTCCGACCAATTATCGTCGAATGTGTGGCTTCTCTGCCTTCGTACAATACTGTTCGGTATGATAAAGGCGAATCTGGAGGTACAGCGCGAGACCCGGACTCAGTCACCACAGAATGATCTGCTAAAAGGCTGGGGACAAACAACAAAAGCCGTGCTTCAGACTGTGAGTATTCTAAACACCACTTATATGGATAAACTGGATGCATCTCAGCTTGGGGCCGCATGGTCCGAGCTACTCGATCTCTTACAGCAGTACTTTGAGTACCGTTCACATGCTCTAGGAGCATCGGTCTTCGACACCATTACGGGTGTTCTTTCCCAGTCTGACAATAATCATACATGGGGTATAGTCCCCTTGCTCAAAACGGCTGGGGTGTGGAGGAGCTATTTCCCCTCTCAAGACGCGTGGCAACAAGGCGGCGAGGAAGACAACCAAGAAGTATTTGTAGCTTACGCAGATGCTTTCAAAGCCGTCTATCGTCTTGCAGATGAACCACTTGCTGCAGAATTGCCTTCTATGCTCGGCAATCTCGAGGCCTGTGTTGTCAATTCCGACGAAGTCGCCTATTCTTCTGATGTGGACAGCATGACTGTACTCCAGAGCCGGATTCTGGAGTGTTTATCGATAGTCAAAACCGACGGTCCCGAGATTTCGTCATATCTGATTGAGTTGTTGGGTCGGTTCATAACACTACCCTACACTTCACAAGACAAGTCTCCTGGAAGACGCGGGCCGACCTTTGTTGCGCTATCAAAAGCGTCCATGACGCTGTTGCAAGACACGATTATCAAGCACATTGATCAGGAAGAGATGTACAAGAACGGTGCTTTTGCTCGTGCTTTGAGTAGTTTGGCGCGGCCCATACAAGAAAAGTATGTGTGGCAGCGCGAAGGCAAAGCACCAACCTTATGGCAAAAGGCTACGTCGACCAGCATAGCCATCATCAAGCCGGCATTGTCACATCTTGGCTCGGACCAAGAGATCTGGGCTAATCTGGTAGATATAGCTCACTATATTACTCGAGCGCAGCTATCATCAGATGCTCCTATGACGCTCGAGAAAGACGAGGTGCTTGACATTGCGTCTTTCAAACAGCTCCGCGAGATTGTTGTCCTTCCACTCGGCTCTGCGTCGCTTCCAGACAGCCTTCGGCGGTCTTATGCCCGCAATCTCTTTGCAACGTCTCTGATACATAGCCCGTTATCTGGAGAACTACCGGACATAATGGGAGCGCCACTCGAAGAGCTCTACAAGGTTCGTCTAGGACAAACAGCCGAGCTTGAGTGTATATGGCGGCCGAACATGGGCTATTCGTGTCTCTCTGAGTTGTTCAGTCTCGTTGCTGTGCATGATAGTAGTCCCGAACGAGTCAAATTGGCCCAAGGAGCAGCTCCATATCTCATTCTACGGTGTGCACTCCCGCTCAAGACGTACATAGCCGATCATCCTTTGCGGGGTCGTATGCCTACGCCCGAGTCGCAGAGACGCGAGTTGCTCTTCGTACTTGAGGAGTTGCACAAGCTGCAATGTGAGCCGCAAGCCATACCCGATGCGCTAGGAGTGAAGTCGAAACACCGCAAGCATATACACAGGCTGTATCCGCTAATAATCAAGGCAACCAAGGTTGCCAGACATGATGATGAAGTTTTCGAGATGTTGTCGAAGCTGACGGATGCTGTTGGGCAAGAGTTTGGGTTAGATGATGATTGAAGCGGACACGGAGGTTAGATAGAAGCATTCGGAGTGTACTATTGTATAGAAGACATTGTTCAAAATGTAGTAATTGAATGGTGAAACGTAAGTCGAACGCATGACATTCCAGCCGGAGCAGTCAGCCGGAGCTCTCTCCGCACAAGGGTGGGCCGGAGACACACCGACCGCGACTCCAGACCTCTTGCCTCACTTGTGCCCACTTGTTGTGGCGGAACTGGCGCGCGCGCGGAATTAACCATGAGCTCCACGACGCCTGCAGACAAGTCCAACCCGAGTGACGCCATCAGCCCGTTGCAAGACGCCAACAACAATGTGAAGCGGAAGAGCGAGGATGCGCCAGCCCAGCCCAGGGCGAAGCGCAACCGTTACATCTCCATTGCCTGCAATGAGTGCAAACGCCGGAAGATCAAATGCAACGGCCAGACGCCCTGCCAGCGCTGCGGGAACCTCAACCTCGACTGCCAGTACTCGCCTAACTGCTGCAACAACTTCAAAGAGAGCGAAGAGTAAGTAAATCGCCTTATCGCAACCGAAAACACGGCGCGACTGACATATCCGAGGTTCAAGCAGATGTCAGCGCATATCAACTCGCTCCAGCAACAAGTAGACGATCTGTTCCACAACATCAGCGTCCTCCGAAGCCAAGTCGAAGTCCACAGCAATGCCTCCATGGGCACTCCCTTCACCCAGGATTACCAACAGACACCTATGCTGCCTCATCCTTCGCGATCGCAGTCCAAGTCATCGAGCAAACACCGTCGCTTTCATGGGCCAACGTCAAACGCATTCAACGTCAGCGTTGCAAGATCGAGTCTCAAAACCATGGGCATAAACCCAGGCGAGGAGGAAGACGACGAGGACTTCTTGACGCGCGAAGAGACACCAGGGGAATCTCCTCCTGCAGCCAACTCTATACCGCCAAAACGATCATTCCACGCCGACAAAGACCCGATATGGGCCATCTCAAAGAGCGACGCTCTACGCCTGGTCCATGTCTGGCACGACGAAGTAGCCGCCATGTACCCAATTCTGGGTGTGGACAAGTTGCTGCGCTATACTGAAATGCTATTTACTTTTATAGAGGCTGCCACTAGGTCGGGCTTCATGCAACGTGCTCTTCCTGGCTCAGATGCAATGATGGACGAGCAGATCAGTACACTCAAGTTAGTCCTTGCAACGACCCTCGTAATCGAAGGTAGGGGGAAGGATCCATTGGCAGAGAAGCTCTTCGCAAACGTGCATAATATTGTTGAAAAATCACTGTCTGAGCCTGCCAGTCTACATAACATAAACCTACTAGTCCTTGTTGTGAGTCAAAGTCCTCGCACAGTCTTCGGTCATGCTCACAAGTGTAGGCTATGTATCACTTTCACCACGATGAAGAAGGGCTGGCTTGGCGAGTAAGTGGGCTGGCTTCGCGACAATGTCTTGAATTGGGCTTGCATCGCCGGGACACGTATGCGACTTTATTTCCCAATCCCGAGGATCAAGCATCGGCAATCCGCATGTTTTGGACGGTCTACGTTCTCGATCGTCGCTGGAGCTTTGGGACCGGAATGCCATTCGCCTTACAAGATGCGGACATTGACAATGTCCCCAAGCCTGTAAGTCATGCTCAACTATCTGTATGCATTTCAGAATCTGATCCAGCCAGGAGCCATCATCTCAAGAGTCTGGCCAATATCTCCACGCAATGATCTCGTACTCAATAATTAGTTCGAAAGTGTGGAAGTCGATCACTGATGTGGGCCAGCAAGACAAGATTAACAAGGAAGATATATCTTTCCTTGATTTTCAAGTCCTGAATTGGCATCGCAGCATTCCGGATTCCTTAAGGTTTGTGCATCCGGACAGTGGCAGACAAGTGGAGACTCCATCGCGTCTAGTCCAGCGACTCCAAGTGGTACTGTACCTTCGGGCAAACCAGATGCGAATTCTCATATACAGACCAGTCTTGCACACAGCAACCACCATTATGGAGAATTTGGAATTTGCACATGTTGTTGTCAAAGTGGCCAAGGACACAATCCGGATACTGACATACCTCAACCAGACATCTGATATTTACAGAAGTCAGCAGATAACGTTTAACTACTTCCTCGTGTCAGCACTTGCAGTGCTGTTTCTTGCTGTGGCTCACGCGCCGGCCGAATTTAACCAAGAATGCCGAGACGAGTTTTACATGGCGATCGACCTTGTGCGAGGTCTCTCGTCAAACTCGTACGTCTCGAGGCGGTTATGGAAGACGATCAAGACGATCAAGGAAGTTGGGCCACGTCTCGGGCTTGCCGTACGCAACGAGGAAATTCACGACGCACACTCGTCTGCTGCAGTGGCTATGGCAGGTTTAGCAGGCCACTCGATGGACGAACTAGCACTGTTCTCCAATGGCCACAACAGCACCATGCTGGATACACCCCACGGAATGGCGAGTGACCTCACAACTCTATTTGAGGCGGCTGGCGGGATTTTCAATCTACAAGGATTTGGGGGGTCGTCGAATGACATTGCAAATGGCAATGGAGAGTTTGTGAGTGGGTTTGGGCAGGAGAATGACGAGTTGGCGCGTATCATGAGGGATTTGTTCTGAGAACCCAGCCTAGTCCATATCTAGATATTCTTACAATGATATGACTTTCATCTTCTTGTAGTCGCTCAAGAAAGTGGCTGCGTGACAGGCGGTGAAACAAGGGCGAAGGGCTTGTGGGAGATCACGTGGTGTATCGCTAAGCTCGGGTGGCCAGGGCAGCCATCAATCTCGACCTGCCAAATCACGGCTTCACTCATGCACCTGGGGTGTCCAAGGGATCGACTGCACCGATAAGTCGCACACCGCAAGCAGCGCCTGGGGAACTAGACCGCTCCTTGCGTAGAGTCTCGCGCTCATTCGACCCCTCCCCCACCCAGCTTCAACTGCATCACGACCTCCCCCGACGCCTTCCTTGTCGAACGCCCCAACACGAACACGCATGCGATAACCAAGTCTGCAAGCGCAGATTCCGACGCCATACACATCCCTTTCCTTATACCAGCATTTTGACGCCGACGTACTGTTGGTTCTTGTACCTACCACAGGCCCTTACCCCCACATTCGCATTTTCGGGCCCCTCGTCCCGTCACACGCACCCGCCTGTTGTGACTGCGCGTAGCAGCACCAGTCACGTCTAGATAGAGGCACTGGCTTACACACACGACCGCCACCATGTCGTCTTCTTCGCAGGTCACCGAGTCGTGGATCGCGTCCTTTTGCGGGCTGCTGGGTCACGAATACTTTGCAGAGGTCTCTGAAGACTTCATTGAGGATGACTTCAATCTGACAGGCCTCCAATCGCAAGTGCCCATGTACAAGGAGGCACTGGAGATGATTTTAGATGTCGAGCCTGAGGACGACGAGGATGAGGACGAAGAGGAAGAAGAAGAGGACGAGGAAGACGAGGTACTGGGCGACGAGAGGCCTCCAGGTTACAGGCGTGCAGGCGACCGAAGGCATCTCCGAATAGCATCTGACCTCAGCGTCATAGAAAGCTCTGCGGAGCTACTCTACGGACTCATACATCAACGCTACATCACGTCGCGACCGGGCATACAACAGATGGCCGAGAAGTACGAGCTTCAGCACTTTGGCACATGCCCACGCGTAAATTGCAACTCCTGCAAGGTACTGCCCGTCGGCCTCAATGACAGCCCCGGACACGAGACGGTTAAGTTGTACTGCCCCTCCTGCTTGGACGTATACACCCCACCCAACTCGCGCTTCCAGACTGTCGATGGCGCCTTCTTCGGCACTACCTTTCCCTCACTCTTCTTTATGACTTTTACCGACCTCGACATTGGAGGCGGGCTTCGCAACAACACGTCCAATACTATTGATGCTCTACAGCAATTACAATCGCAGAACGTAGACGGCAAGTCACGAAACACGACGCCTTCCAACGTTACTTCGATAAATGGCGTCGCGCCGCACAATCTCGCACCCGGCCTTGGCACGGGCAGCATATACGAGCCACGAATCTACGGCTTTCGAGTCAGTGAGCGCGCACGCTCAGGACCTAGGATGAAGTGGTTACGGATGCGACCTGCAGATGTGACAGAGCTCGATGAGACGAGGAGGTACTGGGAGGAACATGACGAAGATGCCGACAGGCCTGACGACGACGATCTCAACATGGTTGACGTAGCAGAGGGAGGCAAGGGCACATCGGCAGACCGGAGAAAGAAGGCCATTCGAACACGAAGACGGCCGACGAATGGCTCAAATGCTGCTGCTGCTGGAGGCAGTCCCATGGATACAAATAGTGTTGCAGCGGCGGCGGGTTAGAACCTTCTTTTTGTCAAGCGAGAAGCGCTTTTTTTGTGCACCGCCCAAACTTTTTGGTCTTCTATGAGGTGGGCAAAACTCTGAATAGGGGGTGGGGGGGTTTACCATGATTTTGTGTCTAATCAAACAAGCGACAACCCTGCTTGAGCAGACAAGGGCAGAAAAAGACCCCCTCAAAGCCCTTTTCGATTGTAGTGTGAGTGTGGATGGGATGGGATGCATGTCAGTTATGGAGTTGGGGCTTAGCCCAGGTTAAAGGGCAATCCTCATTTGATCTTGTTTCTTCTTTTCGCTTCCCTCTCCTTTTATTTTTATTTTTGCGGTTATGATGACATGAGGGGAGGGGTTTGGGGATGCACATGTGCGCGTAAACGAAGAACAAAGTTAATTTTTTTGCGTCACTGGTGCTTTTTTTGGATGGCTGGATTCTGGGGATTGAAAGCATGAGGGTGGGGATGAAGAAGAAGACGAAAGACAGGCAATGAATCACTGGCATTATTATTTTTTCTTGTAGAAAGGTGGTATTGGCTGCGTAAGATGAGGTGTTTCTTGATGAACCTCTCAGGTCAGATTTGGATATTAAACGCGTAGAGGGTGAAAGTACTCTAAACTGATCAGTGCGCGCACGTAGATACGTCCTTCAGCAAGTGCAAGGTCTATTTCTTACTTACCAAGTTCCTGAGCTAAACACCTACTATTCCAATCTTATCACGCAATCCCATAAGAAGCAGAAAGCAAAAAGACATTACATGCTTATTCATGTTGCTACTACATATATTCATATCAAAGATACAGGGACGTATACATATAAGAAAAAGAAACAAGAACAACAAAAAGTGAAAAGTGGTATATAACAAGCCATAAAATTTCTACGCGGAAATCCAATCAAAACGAGACAGAGTAGGGAGGGGGGGAAAGGGAAACTCAATGCCCATGCGCCCACTCTGCAAGCTGCTGATTCGACGAATCAACAGATCCCTGATTCTTCTCATGGTGATGACTGGACATGGGCATTCCAGCGCCACGGCCCTCAAGGCCTTGCATTGAAACACCTTCGTCCATGATGTCGTCGTCGTCGCGGTCGTCGTCATCATCGGGGACTTTGATTTCGCGGGTGAGCTCGACGTAGTCATACTAGCACTTCATTAGCAATCACTTCGACATAACTTGGGGTGAACTCAAGGGAATGAAAAAAACGTACAGCAAACTCTCCAATTTCAACATCGTCGATACCGGCAGCTTCTTCTTCTTCAGTTGCGCGCAGACGCAGCGCGGGGATATAGCGACCGAGGAAATCCAAGATGCCAAGGATGAGGCAGGTGCCGATGAAGGAGTAGGCGCCGCCGGCAAAGGAGTCTGCGAGTTGGTAGCCGATTTGGATCCAGTGCCGATTTAGCCAGCCGCCTTCGATGACGGTGTAGCCGTCGAGGTGGGCGATGTAGTCGCTGCCAAGATTGTTAGCGTTAAGAAATGAGAGACGAGAAGGAGGGAAGATGATGGACTTACGTAGCGAAAAAGGCAGTTAGGATGTTCCCAATGAAGCCACCGACGCCGTGTACGGCGAAGATATCCAGAGCATCGTCACAGCGCAAGAAGTACTTGAGCTTGGTGGCGTAGTTGCAAGCGATTCCGCCGCAGACACCAAACACGACGGCCGCCCAGGCAGGCACGTATCCAGAGCCGGGGGTAATACAGACGAGCCCTGCAATGACGCCAGAGCAGAAACCAACAGTGGACCACTTGCGCTCGAGACGGTAGTCAACCAGACACCAAGTGATGCCCCCAACACACGCCGCCAAATTCGTGCACACAGCCGCCATGATAGCCCGCAGATTAGCAGACAACGCGGAACCCGCATTGAACCCGAACCAACCCACCCACAGGAAAACAGTGCCAATAACAATATGCGTGACATTGTGCGGGCGATAGTTGAGCTCCTGGGTCCCGTGTCCGCTGCGCTTGCCAAGCATGTACGAGTAGCCTAGAGCGGCGCATCCAGATGCGATATGCACGGGGGTTCCGCCGGCGAAGTCGAGGCCGCCCATGTTATAGACCCAGCCCGAGGGGTTCCAGGTCCAGCAGGCGATGGGGTCGTAGATGACGGTTGTCCAGATGAACATGTAGATGATGCAGGGGAGCATGCGGCCGCGTTCTGCGACGGCGCCTACTGCAAGGGCAACACTAGAACTTTCATTTAGCCTTTTCTTCTTTTCTCGTAACTTGAAATGTTTAGAAGGGAAACGTACGTGATGGCAGCAAACATGCCTTGGTACACGGCAAATAGTAAATCAGGGATACGTGGACTACCGACTGAGGGGGCGCCGAGGACGTTCATGAGACCAAAGTTGTCCAGCGCGCCAATGTAGCGACCGGCTTTGTGGGAGAAGGCGAGCGAGTAGCCCCAGAAGAACCATTGGAAAGAGACAACGGCTGTGGCCATGATGGAGAGCCATAGGAGAGATAGGGCGGATTTTCGGCGTGCGAGGCCTGAGTAGAAGAAGCTTTTTTTCGTTAGCTGTTAATTTCATGTTACTCTTTACATATATGTATATATATTCATTGGATAGGTGTATTAGATGGGAGGAAAAAAGAGGAAATCAGGAAAAATACTAACCCTACGCCCGGAATCATAAGCAGCACGAGTGCGGTCGAAGTAATCATCCATGCGATATCGCCGGGCTACAATAGTTGACACTTTGAATTAGCCCCACGTCTCTCGCTCCCCACAACCAGAAACTTCAAACTTTCGGGAACCTACTCCCAATTTCTGATAGTTTTTTTTCTTTATCGGGGAGATTTCCCAAGGAGGAAATAAAACTCACATTGTAGAAGACATTGAGGTTGTATAACCGTGAATCGCCGCCGGTAGGGATACTGGCGTTGGCGAACGTCTCAATAGGAACCGTGGGGTCCAATCCCGACGTGACCGGATCCATGATTTTGTCGTTTTGTTAACCACGCACAGACAACACAACCACGATCTTTCTTCTCTAGTTTTTCCTAATCGCTATTCTTTGCAAAACTCTTTTCTCTCCCTCCAGCTTCAAGTCCTTTCCGCGTTCAAAGGGACGGGGTCCGGAATTTATTCGCAAAAACGGTTCCGTAGAAAGCAGCTATTTTTAAAAATCCTCAATATATCCTTTTTCTTTTGATGGAAGTTTAAAAAGAAGAAGGGTCGATCAGATAGATAGGGAATTCGGAATGTGGAAAAGGTTGCCTTCCCGGCGTGGGAACGAAAAGGGAAAAGAAAGATGGAGGTGAGGTGGAGAGGGCTTTGGGTTTGGTGGATATCGCTACACCCTCCAGGGATTGCTCTGCCCTCGTATTCCTTGGCGATCGGTCCTCGATAGGTTTTTTAAGCCCCGAGAAAGCCAAAAAAAAACCACTGCGATCGCTGGAACGCGCGAAGGAAATGCAGGTGAGAAAAGAAGAGGCCGGCGTAATTGGGATTGGAGGCAGGAAGGAGAAGGTTTCGGAGGATGGAACGGCGGTATATGGGTAAAACTGGCGGCCAAGGTTATCTAGTTGGAATGTATACTACAATAAGAATGTACGCGCATGCGAGGCTAAGGGGTTTATGTGTGAAAGGCCGTTTTTTTTCTTGGTGGGCTTATATGGATGGAGTAGGTATATGTAGAAGGAAATGATATTATAGATCAAAGCTCTCGTCCATGACCGCCCGTTTCCGGATGCAAGTTGCAGGTCAATCAGAGGGACGCTTTAGCGGGTGGTCCTGGGATCTGGCCTCGATAGCTAGTGTGCGGGATGGGGGGATGGGATGGGGGGACACACAGACACTTGGTGCGGTACCCCATTGCTTGTCAGCCAATATCCGCCACGGGGGGGGGGCGGGTCGTAAAGCAAAAGCAAAAACACCTCGATTGCCAAACCAAGCCTGCAGGGTGCCGCCCATACTGGCACACACGGCCGATCTCACGGACCCTTTTGGCTTGAACCATACGTGCGGGATGTCACAGATTCGGTTTTTGACAGCTTCTGGGTCGACGCCTTGGAAACGACGGCTTCCTGGTGGCAACCACTGGCTCGAGTGACGTGAGTTTTCTTTTGATCTCTTGCTCTTCTTCATCTTGTTCCCTTCTTAGGTACTTTGACTCGCAAATCCTTCCGTCTCACTCATCTTTGCCCAGTCCAGTGTATGAGACCGAGTGTGCGGGTCGACACAGGCCATGCAGCAGCCCAGCCTCTCTGCTATCAGCATAATGATGCAAAGCCATTGCTCAGAGCTTGGGAGAGCAGCTGGAGCAAGGGTAGTGATAACGTGAATAGGGCTGATAGGCCAGGCGGGCTACTAAGCGTGTCGAGGCCACCCCTGCGCTGCCTATCTGGGCGCGAGGCGTGCTATGATGGGGCACACGCCCGCCTTAGCCTAGATACGGCGGCGATCAGAGATACCCACCATGCAGCACATCGTTCCTTGCGCAACTACTCCACGCGACACCCATCCTCGTTTGTTCGTGTTGCATGTTGCATAAAAGGAGACTGCACTTTTCATGGCTGCGCATCCTCCGCTTCCCACCGTCTTTGCTTGTCCATGAAAGTCCCAATTTCCGGACATGATAGGCTCTGGAGAGTGTGTCCAGGTAGTTACGCGACCGCCCACGTCCTTATCTCCAACATCTCGCATCGGCACAACCACTGCGCGACGCACCATGCAGGTTCACTCGAGCATCATGCAGCAGCCCCTTGGGGTCATCTAACACATGTTTCTGCTGTCTGCATCCATCGGTAGCGCTGCCGGCTTGCGAATCATACCATGCTGCTGGGTGCTCTGCTCGCCTCATCTTCCCCAATCATCCCGCTCTGCATAAGCCCTCTTTTCCTTTTTTCTGCGCCTACCGCTCGCCTATCCCTGGCATCCGCCTGTCACTGGCTACTCGACATCTTCAACTATCATGTTGTATATTTACATACCTAACCGGCGTACGTAGGTGGCTATTGTTAGATAGGCTATCTTGGCCAGAAGCTGAGGCTGTTGACTTGTCGAAACGAGGCCGTTACTGATAGACACTTCGAGCAACCTACGCGGCCCCTCGTATCATGAGCCTTGATGAGCACTGTCTCAACATTCCTTCGCGAGCTGCTCCTTAATGTACACAGGCTAGCCAGTCGTGTCCGCTCGTCTAGCTGCAAACAGAGCAATCAATGGCCATGTCTTTGACAACCAACCACAAATCAAAACAACCAAAGAGGTTGCTGGACCCGCACACAACGCCTTACTCATGTTACGTGCATGTTTGCCGAGCATGCAGCCCCTAGCTTCGAATGAGCATCTCAACCAAGACCATCTGTTCTTATGCGTCAAATCAAGTCCAGCGTATACCCTCTCCGCCTTATCCATAGGTCTGTTTTCTGATCCTTTTACCAAAGCCTACCTGGTGGCCCGATCTGCCCGCCAGCCAAGCATCCCACTTTCCCTATGAACGGGCGAATTCGGATATCTCAGCGGAACTGGCCCGCCCCACAGCCCGGAAATTGACGTAGCTGCACGCACAGGCCCAGCGAGGAAATGTCGAACCAGATCACGACATGTGATAGCAGTACACATTCCAACAACAAGGTTCGTACTTCAGGGATGTGCAGGCGTCCCTGATCCTACCGGAGTGTTCGCCCCTGGCGTTGCAGAGTCCATCCCAGCCTTCTTCTTCTTTTTCTTCTTCCGTGGGATCAGGGCTGGCGGGTTGGTCATCGCGCTTCGTAGCGACAGATAAGAGCCACACGTCAGACAGAGATTATCCGGGAGATCCGGACTGCAGAAAACTATGCGATGTTAGGGCATCTGTGGGCGGGGTAGACAAGGAAAGTTCATCTTACTGCTTAAGCACACACTGCAGACAAAGCCAATATCAACAACTTTGCGATGACAGAAGCATGCAGCACGGAAATCAACACCACCTGCGCTGGGGACTACTAAGCTGGCTCTTGCCGTTACATCAGGTAAGAAAGCCATCATCAGATACTGGAGCAAGCCCTCTGGACGCTCTGGCTTCATGTACACTCCGCCAGTCGCATCACTGGCCTGCTGCAGCAAAACCGTATCGCCAGCTAGCTTCAGAATGTCTATGGGTATTCGCTTCCTCTGTGCAGCAAAGATGGAGTTCATGACGGGTATGTATTGGTTGGCCAGATCGCCAGACACGGATACGATGAGGATGCGAGACGTGAGGGACACGCGGTCAACATGGGTGTTCTCCGAGTCGGCCAGCGCTGCGAGAGAGGCGCTCTCAGCAGAGGCAGCGGTGGGAGCATGTAAAATAGTCTGCTTGTTGATGTGCGTAAGCGCCAGGGAGAGGGCACCGCCAATGAGTGTCGTGGGCGTTGCTTCCAAATGACTTTCTTTGGTCTCGTTCAGCAGCTTGACAAAGTTCTGCAGTATGGTGCTCTCCACTACAGCGAAAGGCCGGTACTTGTTTGCACTCTCCGCCGTATGTTGGCCTTTGTCATCCCCAATCCCATTCATTTCTACGTCGCCATTTGCAATGCCGTTGCGTGACTGGGCTTGCGGGGCTACAGGCGACGGATAGAGAAACGTGGTCTTGTGCGAGTGCGATGCTATGACGGCTACCTCGTTCGTATTTCCAGATGCCAAGTGCGCGTTGATGAAGACGAGAATGTTGGCCAGAGCAGTCGAAAGTGAGAGTGTCGAGGACAAGTGTGCCCAAGCATGTGGATTGGTGTCTAGTACAATGGCTAGTAGCGAGGGTGGAGGAGCTGAGTGGTGTTAGTGGTGAATTCGCTGGTCCTTGTTTAAATCGCCTTGCCTTCTTCCGTCTTAATATGACGGTCTGAACCATCGATGGTGTTCATGGCGTTGATGTGGGTCCTGACCAGAGGCTCAAAGGACCAGATTTTCTATTCAAGGCCTGCTCATGATAATCTCGGTAGCGTCGAGCTCGTTCCACTCGAGCTTTGTGGTGAGCGTGTAGGTTGAGGCTCCAACCAAACTATGAGGTCAGGTTCGCGAGCGGCCAAGGCTCGCGCAGCCCGTGCCACATCCGCGTAGCCACGTGACATTCTTGCACCGCCATTGTCTAGAGGCCTAGTGCTGAATGGTACACATTGTGAATACGCAGCACCCTTGCGCGCAAAGGGATATCTGAGATCCGTTATTGACCTTCGCTTTACACAAGATTATCTTATGATGTGGATAGAGTTGGCATCATTACCCTGGCATCACTGGGTCAGGGTGGCAGTACCCTCGACCAACAGCCTTGCCCCTGGTGATTGATGCCGTTATTGGACACTGAATTACCTATTTGCTGTTCATATCCATGATGGACCATGGTACACGGGGAGCACTGCGCTGAAGAACCACCACCATTAGAAGGCTCATCGCTGGAAATAAACATCTAATAACCAGCTACTATTCGACCATCAGGGCTGAATACGTAAACATGAATCATACCTTTTGCTCTTAGAGGGTGCTCTAAGAGTCGGATCTGAACAATTTTGTTATCACTTCATCCATCTTTTGCTCGTGTACACTACTTCGCTTCTTCTCCACCCTCCACGCTGCATTTTGATCTTCTCTCTGTGAAGACATCAATATGATCACCGAGTCAATAAAAAGGGTAAACGGGTATGGCAAAGATGCCTATACATACTATCCCGTCATCATTATCGGCGCTGGAGCGTCCGGCATTGCGGCGGCATGTCAGTTGAAAACCCAACTCGGATTCGATCAGTTCCGCGTCTTTGACCGGCAGACTGGAGTTGGAGGAACTTGGTGGATCAATCGATATCCTGGTGTTGCTTGGTACGTCTACATAAATGTATTTGCACTGGTCAGGAAACGCGACGAATTTCTGCCTTTTCTAGTCATCATCTATATTGAATAGGACGTTACATAAGAAAACGAGCCCTAACGCTAGCATTACACAGTGACATACCCGCAGTCTTCTACTCCTTCTCCTTTGCTCAAAACTCCAACTGGAGTTCCTTCCGCCCGCCTGGCAAGGAAATCGTCCAGTACTACCACGATGTGTGCGAGAAATACCAAGTCATCGACAAATTCGAGCTCAACACCGACATCCAGAGTTGCAAATGGCTAGACAACGAAGCCTTATGGGAAGTCACCTTACGCCGTCTTGTCGCAGGCATGGGCGACCTCTCATTCAAAGACCGCATGAAGATTGTGCAAGAAAAGGGCGAACAGGCAGTATATTTTGAGACGCAAGTCGTAAAAGCCAAAGTGGTGCTGAGCTGTGTTGGCGGCCTAGTCGAACCTAAAGGTTTTCCCGAGAGCATCAAGGGTATCGAAAAATTCAAAGGCAAAGTATTTCACTCTGCACGATGGGACGACACAGCCGATCTTACAGATAAAAACGTGGTGGTGGTAGGATCAGGATGCAGCAGCGCACAAGTCGTGCCTCCACTGCCTCACCCTCCTTACAATGCCAAATCAGTAGCCCAAATTATGCGATCACCCCCATGGGTCGTCGCCGCCCTCCCACCTCCCGGCGGCGACGAATGGTGGAGCGCAAACGCGCCCTGGCTAATGCGCAACATACCCGGCCTAAAACAAGTCGTCCGCTTCATCGTCTTTTTCAACACCGAAAAGGTTTTTTTCCAAATCTTCCCCAACAATCTCTTCTCGTTGGCCATGCGTGTGAAATACCAGGATTGGCTCCTTGACCACATGCGCAAAACCGCACCTAAGAAGTACTGGGAGATACTGACGCCAGACTACAGTGTGGGATGTAAACGCCGCATCTATGATCAGTACTGGCTGAACAGCCTGAATGATCCCAAGATAGAGCTTACGACACAGCCTCTAAATAGAATCACTGAAACAGGCGTCATTGTCGGACCAGGTGCATCGTACCCGGCGAACGCGAAGAAAGAAGAATATCCCGAGCGCGAGATCCCCGCCGACATCATCGTTCATGCCAACGGTTTCGACACGGCGCGATGGTTGCATCCGCTCAAAGTCATTGGTAAAGAGGGAAAAGATATCGTCCAGGTCATGGAAGAGAGGGGAGGCGCGCAAGCCTACCAAGGCACTGCTATGGACGGGTTCCCGAATTTCATGATGATATTCGGGCCCAATACTGTGACTGGGCATTCCAGTGTACTCATGGCGAGTGAAAGTAAGTATTGTTTCTCATTATTCTAAAAAAAACCCCTCTTCTCTGCAAACCATTAAGTCCAACTACAGTTTCTACTTGCTGACGTTTCTAGACATGGTCAACTACTCCATCAACTTCATCAGACTAATCCTTACCCACGACGTCCGCACCTTCGACGTCAAGCCCGAGGCCGAAAAGGCGTACACAGCCGAGATGCAGCGTGCGATCGACAATACCGTCTGGAAAAGCGGGTGCTCGAGCTGGTATTCTACCGACAATGGTTGGAATTCGACTGTATATCCTTACTCGCAAGTCGTCTTTTGGTATCGTTGCCTGTTTGTCAAGTGGAGTGATTGGAATATTGAGTATACAAGAGAGGGTCTTGTTAGAGTGAGGATGAGGATGATGCTAAGGATGTTGGTGCTGCTGCTTGTGGGATGTGGAATTTGGAAACTGAGGCTGTACGAGTTGGGGTTGAGGGAATGGACGTATCTTGGCCGAATTGTGGCGCAGGTTTCCATGCAGAGTGCTATGCAAATTGGGGATAGGCTAAGGAGTTTGATCTGGCAGTGAAATACATAGGTAGTCGTGGCTGTGTACTTCACTAGGTAACACTTCAACAGTAAGATTCAGGAATGAGGCGTAGAGAATGTGGAAACACAGAGTAGTCTAGTTTGATTAATCAATCGGCGTTGGTCAGAGTTGGCACTGAAGTCTTCTGTTGGCGAGCCGCTATGCCTTACGAGACTTTGACCGCCCGTTAGGCATCCCTCATCATACTACCTGACTGACGTAGTCTTCGAATGTGGTAGTCGTATGCTCAAGCGCATATATTCTTACAGCACGGTGCTTGTGGAATGGTTGTAGTGACAGCATACGATGGTCCAATATTTCATACTAGAATCGTTAGTACAAGTCCCCATTCTCATGTACATGATCGTACCATCGAGGTAATCAGCAGCGATCAGCAGCTCCAAGCACAGCTCAGGCGGTATGTCCATATCCGAGACGTCTTTGCTCTCCGCATGCTTCTGGTTGTAGTACAAGTACTCACAGACCTTCTCGAGTACAACACCACTGACTGACAGTTAGTTCAGGCTCATCATGTACCTTTCACCCTCAGTGGCGTGAGCCCATTAAGGCAGCACTGGCGGGGCGCAGAGACGAACATCTAGACGTACTTGATGGTCGGTAAATCGACGCGATTCTGTGCATTTTCTCGGAAGCCAGCTGGAGGGTATCATTAGCCGCTGCAGGGTCCACTGTGGTACATATCCAAGGTTGCGAGGCGTACACATCGGATCCAGCGCCTTCTTGATTGTTCCTGCTATGCATGCTGCAGAACGCAACAGCTTGAATTCGTAGCCGTCGTTGGAGACCAACGTGACGTACTCGGTGGGCTTGTCGTCTGCCATCGTCGCAAGCAATAGGCGGAAAAGGTGTTCGTCGTGGGGGTGAGAGGCAAGGGTAGGGATCGCGGGGAAAGCTGGCGAGTCGCGCAGTCACGTTTTCTCGCGTAGTACACTGACATCATCCCATCTCTTTCAATTCATCAAAGCCCATCCATCTACCTCACATTGGCTGTGTCTTGGCAATTGGTCTCATCTCTGTAGTGCAACAAAAGAGCAAATGGCAGAACAATAGAGGCTGAGAAAACAATCAATTGCCATTTTCCACAGTCTCACAATCAACTTTAAGAAGAAGAAAAACTCCACTATGGCAACGAGACCGCGACACATACTCGTCACAGGCGGGAGTCGCGGCATCGGCCTATCCATAGCCCAACTATTCGCAAAAAACTCATACAGATGCACCCTCATATCGCGCTCAGAGCAAAATCTCAAAGCCGCCGTCTCATCATTACACCCCCTACCTTCCACATCCACCTCCACCCAATACCAGCACAACTACATAGCAGCCAATATATCGCACGGCCCAGCCTTCTGGTCCGCCCAGACCTTCGGCACCCACCTCCCCAAACCATCCCGGGACGCAGCCTCCACACATCCCTCGCACATCGACGTAGTCGTAAACTGCGCTGGCATAACCCAAGCCAAGCTCTTCAGCATGCTCGACGAGTCTACCATCGACCAGCTCATCACCACCAATCTAACCGCCATAATGCACGGCACAAAGTTCTTACTCCGCAATGGCTATCTACGCAGCCCCAAGGCCGAAACTCAGGGCCCCAGCCCAACCATTATCAACGTGGCCTCGCTGCTGGGTTTGCAAGGCGGATATGGTGCAGTCGCGTATGCGGCGTCAAAAGCGGGTGTACTGGGTTTTACGCGCGCGCTGGCGACTGAGTATGCAAGTCACAAGGTGCGCGTTAATGCTATTGTGCCCGGGTACGTGGACACGGATATGACGAAAGGTATGTGATATTTTTGCGTCCCAGGGCTGGTTGGTGAGTGAGTCGGAAACTGATAAGTGGCGATGTGTAGATCTCAACTCTGCGGAAATCCAACAGAGGATTCCGCTGGGTCGTTTTGGGGCGCCGGAGGAAATTGCGCATGCGGCGTTGTTCCTTGCGGAGAATCAGTATGCGCATAATTGTGTGATTAATCTGGATGGAGGGCTGTCTGCTGTCTGATTCTAGGTCATCTGGGATCAAAATAGGATGTCTAGTATCTTGCATTATTGTATGATAATGTTTGCTAGTGTGACCGCATAGGTGCGGTCGTTGTTTTTTACTTCCCCCACTTATAAGGTTGACCTACTCGCTCGCCACCGAACAGGGCCTGAAAAGAAGCAGAAAGCAAAAAGGTATGTTCGTGTCCATGCTGCCTTTGAAAACGCCTTTTGCTCAAAGACTGACTAGATGGTAGACTTGCTATAGTACAGAGTAGGAAATCTATGTGTGCCTCGCAGGTGTTGCGACTGCCATGCAAATCTATTGGAGATTTAAGGGCGGTGCTGCCCTTGACCAGCAAGCAAAACATGCTGGTAATGCATGTGATACAATGTGGAAACCGGAAAAGATTAGACAAGGCCAAGGTTCCGGCAAGGGTGAAGGGGATAAGGGTCCTGGGGCAATCCTAGAAGATGACGTGCCAACTTGCAAGAGTTGACCAGGCGTTTTAGCGAGTAGCTTATTCAGTCATCTTCAATGACAATAGCACCGTTGATGTGATCTTCTTGAATGACGATATGATCACCATCCTGCTTCAGAGGCTCTTCCATGACTTTGCCCTTCTTGCGTATGAGCTCATCATTCAGACCGGCCTCGGTGGCTGTTCGCTTCGTAGCACCATTCGCGCCTTCATCTGTAGCGTCATTGCTGGCTGGAACGGTGCCGTTGATAGTAGCATGCCCATTCGTCTCTAGAGCGGGTGCCTTGGGCTTTGTCGCAATCTTGAGTTCATCGGGTAGCCTCAGAGGCTTTGCGTTCTCAGTGAACTCTTGATGAGTAATGGAAAAGACCACGTCAACCTTGGTGTTTTCTTCTGCATCGTCGGAGACGGTGATGAAAGTGTCATTTTTGAGCCCCAGCTCCTCAAATGTCTTATCAAGATGAATGTCCTCATCCACGTCATAAAGTATATCGGCATCGCGCTTGACGCTAAAATCTTCAGCATATCCAAGATTCTCCTTCAGAATGTAGTCGACCAAGTCGCTCAACTTCGCACGCTTTGTGTCAACAGCGAGCGTAGCATAGCATACGCTGCATGTCGCGCAGTGGGGGTTAGGTGGTCGGAGTGGCTCGCTGGAAATGACACGCTCTGTGCCGCGGGTTAGAAATACCATTTTTGCCTTGTCAAGCTGCTCGCGGAAGACCTTGCAGGCTTGGAGAACGCAGAGACTGGCGGTCATGGCGTTGGTGGTTGCGATTGCGGGGATGATGTTACCGGCCATTTCTACAGTCTGTTAGCAAAACTTCTCAAAATCCGTGTCAAAGTCCCTACGTTTGATATCAAACTTGGACCGCATCTCGATGCCAAAGATGTGTGACCGGAGGTTGGCACTTGCGACAACAAAGTCGAGCGTGTCTACGTCGTCCTTGTCGAAGCTGAGAACGGGCGTCGAGTTTCCAATCTCATTATTTGCGCGCATCTCATCCAGCCGGTTGCTCAGTCGCTTTATACTATCAATGAAGACAGCAAAATTCTCGGCAACAGTCCAAACAATTTGATCTTGTTGCACGGCGAATTCACCCACCTCCGCCGACTCTTGTATGAGCGTTTCGTAATCTAGAACCTCGGGTGCTTTCCTAGTCTTCCACATGTCTTCCATGCTCCGCAATCGCTCAATATCCTCCTTGAAAACTTTATCAAAGATCAGCCGTGGAAAATCTTGGGAGCCCATGGAGTCGCGTATACGCTTCAACGCTTGTGCCTCCTTGTGCAGGTTTGCGACCTCATCCGCGTTATCGGCATCTTCGCTGTGATCCAGCTCGGGGGCTTCGTCTTCGGACGTGCCAAAAATCTCAGCGAACAAGTACGACTTTGCCCAGACGATGCAGTGGATAGGTTGTGACGGGGTGCTTCGGATGGTACAGACGGGGAAGGACTTGGGTGCATCTTTAGGCGTGCAGTCGTAGCATTCAGTTTCGCCCTATTGGTAACAGTCAGCATGTGTAGTCTCAAGAAGCTTGAGTTTCTGGCTGCGCACCCGCTTGATGACCTGGACCTGGCCGTTGAAGCCTGTGGTGCCACTCTCGATCAATGGCACGCCGGCTGCCAGACACATTTTGTTGACATGGCGGCGCGCATCCACATTGTCGAGCGCGTTGAAGACGAGACGGAAGGTCTTAAACCACGCGACATTGAATTGAGTGTCCTTGATGTTGTCGTGGTATGCGATGATGTCAATGTTGGGGTTGAACTTGGAAGCCGACTCTTTCGCAACCTGTCGAGGGGTCAGCGCATGCCCAACCACATGTGGGTGGATGCAGTCGTTGCCCTACCAATGCCTTTGACTTCTTGATGTGCTCAGTGCGGAACAGGAATTGGCGGTTGAGGTTGCTGAGGTCGATGGTGTCAAGGTCGACGATGTGGATCTCGCCAAAGCCGGTGAGGACCAAGTTCTTGAGGAGCTCGCAGCCGATGCCCCCAGCTCCGACCATCAGGACGCGCGACTTGGACTTGGTCAGCCACGACTGGGGATTCTGTTGCGCAGGCGGATAGCTACCTCTTTAATGCGCTGGTGGAGCGCGCCGCCCAGGCTCTGGCGAGCAAACTTGTCGCGAGCCATTGCGGGTTCGGTCTTGTACAAGAGTAGAGGTTGAGTTATGTTACGGGCGAGGTTGCAACATGCGAAGCACAGGGCTGCGACGCCGATTCCCAGGTGAAGGTGAAGGCCAGAGGCACTAGAGACGACAGACGAGAGACGTCAGTGCTGCCCCATAGCGCCGCTCCACCGGGTTCGCGCTGCCAGCTTCTCAGCCTCCGAATCTTGGCACCTAAACGAACGCCCTATGAGTGGAGCATACCACTCGAGATGCAGGGACGCACTTTCATCGCTACTCACCTGAATTGTGGACTTGCCTCTTGTCTTGGCCTCTCTCTTCACTGCCTTTTCCGATACTGGAGCTAGTGGCTTCTCTCTGTCCCCATCATGTCCGACGATGAGGTCGACCTGGAGCTGCTAGACCTTATGCGGAAGCATTGGGGTGGCGGTGTCAAACAAGACGGTCCCCCGGAAACAAGAGTGCTCGAAAATGCTCAATTCATCTACGACAATAGCCTTGATGTTGCGCTGGACATGCGGTCAACGAAAGTCGCGGCTCAGCTGGTGCTCGATGAAATGGAAAAGCGCGAGTATTCAACAAAATCATGGTCCGAACACGAACTGCATCCGAAAACCAAGGATGAGAACACTGTCAACTTTATCTTCACAATGGACCTACTGAACTTCAGTTTCTGGAGCGAAAAGAACGATGAAGATCGGTTTGCTGTAGTCTACAAGGGAAAGAGGTGGACTGGCTATTGGAGCCTAGTAGCAATACTTCAGAGAGCCCTAGAGCAAGAAATCCCCATCACTAGCCCGGATTTCTGGGTAGACGAGGAGGTGTGTTCAGAAGAAGTGCTGCGCACAGTCTTTAGTTCTGGCACGGATGAGGAGATCCCCATGTTTGAGCAAAGGGTACGGTGTCTGCGAGAGGCTGGACGAATTTTAGAGGAGGTGGGTTCGTTTGCAAAAAAAGAAATCAAACTGTGAAGTTAGTTTTTGACTAATGGAACAGGAGTTCGACAGTAGCGTGGTCACCCTCATTGAGGATGCAAATAATTCAGCAGCCGGCCTAGTGAACTTACTCACCGAAAAGTTCAACTGTTTCCGAGATGAGGGCACTTTTGAAAATAAAAAGGTGCGCTTCTTGAAGCGGGCCCAGATCTTCGTGGCAGACTTATGGGCGGCTTTTGAAGGCGAGGGCTATGGTGAATTTAACGATATCGACAAGATCACCATGTTCGCAGGTACGTATGCATTTCATCCACAACATCGATGCACAAAATTCACACTTTTCTAGACTACCGGATACCGCAAATGCTACATTCATTAGGCATCATATGGTACTGCCCGCCTCTCGAGAACAAAATTCGCCGTCTTGAAATTATCGAATCAGGGCATACTTGGGAAATGCAAATACGCGGGTGCAGCATCTGGGCCGTGGAGCTTCTCCGCCGTGAGATCAGGAAACTCAAACCAGATACGGAAGTTAATGCGATTCTCATTGACTTCTTCCTATACGATTTGGCCAAGGAAAAAGAGAAGGAAGGAGTAGACGTAATCCCGCATCACCGGACAAGAAGTATATGGTATTAAGAAGCGATTGAGTCTAGTAGTAGTTGCCGATGAAACAATGCCTAGAGTAGTCCCCCGCTGACTTTCACTCTTGCAAAAGAGTGATTGGTCGCACGTTTCTCATCACATCATGAGCGAGGCCCTGCCTCGTGATATATGCACTGCCTCCTCAAGGCCCCACCACTTAAACTTTATAAGTGAGCTCGCACGTACGGCATGCAAAGTCACCATCAAGCCGCAAATTACCGTACCTTTAAACTGGCTTTCACGGACTGCCTTTGCGCACCAAATTAGGCCCAGGGAATGCCGTCTGGCCTTGGCGGCCGTTCCGTATTGCGGTCAATCGTTATCTGCCGATATTAGTGCTGACCATCTGGAGGTCATCCTTGTTATGAAAACATAGTTGTAGTAAGACTGGCGTGCACTTATGAACGTTCCTTGTTGGGACATAAGCATGGGAAACGGAAGCCAAGACAACGAAATGAACGCAAACTTTCGGTATGATTTGATCGTCTGCCACAAGTCTTACTTGCAGTATGAAGGCTGTGCGCGAAAGTGCACGCGTTTATACCCTTGTTGTCAATTTTGGCCTCATGTTTGCCGCCTACATCCGTCCTTTGGACCAGACGCGGTGGTAATACGTGTGATTTCACAGTTATTCATTACCCTCATTCTTGTCGCTCTTTTTATCACTCGTTCTTCAGCTGCTCTTTCTAGAGTTCTAGTTGCTGTTCATTTCAAAGATTGTCTGCAGACTTTCAAGTACGTACTCCACTTGATATCACTCAGAGGGAACGAACAACTCACCATACATTAAGATATTATAAACCATGGGCAACGCCGTGAGTGCTGCCCAGTCGGGAGTCTCCACATTTACTGGGGGCTCTGCAGGTATTGCAGGTTCCGCGATCCACCAATGTCTCATCAAGGCCGTAGGCGACGACAATGCCGCCTTCAAAGGCGACCCCCTCTACCAAGTTAATGATGTCAAGCCATACAACCTCGATATCATGATCACTCCCACCGCAGTCACCTACCCCGGCACTGCTGATCAAGTTGCTGCAATTGTCAAATGCGCTGCCGAGTACAATCTGCCTGTACAATCGCGCAGCGGCGGACATTCATTTGCGAACTACGGCATTGGAGGAACGGACGGTGCTGTTGTCGTCGACTTGAAGCACTTTCAGAAGTTCTCTATCGACAATTCTACCTGGCAAGCTTCTGTTGGTAGCGGAACTCGCCTTGGTGACCTCACCAAGCGACTCGGCGAGAATGGTGGCCGTGCCATGGCTTATGGAACATGCCCACAAGTCGGTGTCGGAGGACACGCACTTATCGGCGGACTTGGACCAGCTTCTCGCATGTGGGGTGCCCTTCTCGACCATGTTGAGGAAGTCGAGGTCGTTCTAGCCAACTCAACTGTCGTGCGTGCCTCGGATAAGCAACACCCGGATCTCTTCTTCGCCATGAAGGGAGCTGGCGCCAGCTTTGGTATCGTCACTGAATTCAAGCTTCGCACCCAAGCAGCACCCGGCAACGCTGTAATTTACACTTACACTTTCCAAGGTGGCTCGACACAATCAAAGGCAGATCTTTTCAAGAGGTGGCAGAAGTTGGTCTCCGATCCTCAGCTCTCGAGAAAGTTTGCCAGCCAGTACATCGTTGCTGGACCTATTGGCGCCATCATCACTGGTACCTATTTCGGTAGCCAGGCAGAGTACGACAGTCTGAATCTCACTTCCCGTCTTCAAACAAGCCAAAGCAATAGCTCCATTGAGATGAAGGATTGGCTCGGTGTTGTCGGTCACTGGTCAGAGCAGGTCGCAATGCAACTTGTCGGCAACGTCCCGGCTCACTTCTATGCCAAAACCCTTGCCTATACAAAGAAAGATCTCATGTCAGATGATACGGTTGACAAGGTCTTCAAATACATTGACACGGCAGACAAGGGCGGTGCGCTTTTCTTTATGATCTGGGATCTTGAGGGTGGCGCCGTCAACGACATTGCGAAAGATGCAACTGCGTATGGACACCGCGATGCGCTGTTCTTCCACCAAGCATATGCCGTCAACCTACTGGGCAGGGTAAGTTCATCCCTCATTGTTTCACACTATAGACAGCTTTTCTAATAGCATGCAGCTCAACGACACGAGTCGCGCCTATCTCAACGGTATCAACGACGTTGTCATCAACTCGCGAGCAGACCGCGATCAAGGCGTATACCCAGGCTATGTCGATCCCGCACTGGGTGCGAACAGTGCAACCTATTACTGGGACGACAATGTGAGCAGGCTGCAACACATCAAGGCTTTAGTGGACCCACGCAACGTCTTTAGGAATCCGCAGAGTATTCTGCCAGCGGCCAAATCAGTCAAGCAGAGGGCGATTGTATGAATTTCTCGGATGGAAACCTGAGGGCTTGGCAGGAAACTGGGATTTATAAGCTAGGATCGCGATGTTATTCTTCTATACGTATATTTCTAATGACTCACACATGAATTCATTTCTCCAAGAAAACCATACCCAATACATGCAAGGCCAACGTCGTACAATATATACGTAGTACCTCTTGTCTCCTTGGCGACAACAGGCTGCTCTTCAGCTGAAGCCACGAGCTGAAAATAACCGCTGGGCATAAAAACGCATCATGCTATGGAAAATCATCCATAACCCCAAAATCAACCCCTTCATCACTCGCTCGGTAGCGTTCTCTCTTTTCTCTGCTTCGTGTCTACCTGAACCTTCTTCACAATGACTTCACCATACCCACCCAACATCTACCAACCACCATACCCGCCCACTCCTCAAATATACCCTCAACAACCGTATCAATCAAACCCCTACCCAAGTCCAGATCCCCAGTGGCAGCAACACCCCCAAATGAATTACGCCGCCCAACCAATCTCCATTCAAGACGCGCAAATGCCCATCAGAGAAGCAGAAAAACAAGATGAACCGTGCTGCTGTGCACGTCGAGGCTGCTTCTGGACCTGGTTTGATTGCAGGACGATATGTGTGGATTGTTGTCCATCGTGTTGTTTTGCGTGTTGTTGAAGGGAATGGTGGGGGGCTAGAGGATACGTTTGCTTAGGGTGAATTACTACTTTGAGATGGGGGTGTCGGCAATGGTACGCAGCGGATAAAGGTGCAGGGTTTGTTCTATTTTTGGAAGTAGGGTATTTTGTACGGTTGCGTTATTGTGTGATGATGGTGCTTGGCGAGGAAACAGCATGTTACACGGGTATTGGCGTCTATTTGGCATTGTTCGGGGCATGACGGTTGGGCATTCTTGCAAGACGATCAGTCGAGTTTTGAGCTTGGTGGGGGAGGTATCTTGTCTCGCGTATTATGGATACTTGAAATGCTTGTGAGAGACCGCATGTCGATGCTATAGCATCAAAATACCCTCCTTTCTACACAAGGCAACGTAAATCTGGGTAACATGACGGATGAGAGTAATGGTTGCTGGAAGAGACAGAACAGAGAGTTCATATTTGTGTCATGCCATAGATCACACTGCTCTAACGATGAGAAAATTCGCGAGAAATCATGAATGTACTAAGTTGCAATGTGTACGTAATACGCAAAAGGGATGAGATTCGGCGTATGCAGGTTTCATTGATGTTGGTTTTTCGCAAGCACTCTCCATAGCGACGTCAAAAATCCAGAGATCCCTAGCTTGTCGTACTTTCTTTCTATCGACGAGGGCACATATTAGAATTACCTTATTGGTTGAGACATCAGTGAAGTCCCTGGGATAGGTGGCCACTGGTGGCTGTCCGTACCGTACAAGGACTTGAGGCATGAATTTAACAATACTAACCAAGCCAACCGCATTCTGGATATCAGCATTGGAAAGGAAACGATCTAGAGTCTTGCAATTTCTGAGTTCGCATACAAAGTTTCATAGCGACGAAAGTCAGTGCCGCGAAACCTGTGTCCTTGTACAGTGGCAAAAATGTGCTGTCGTCCGTGCGGGCGCAACTTAAACCCGAGGAAATCTTGGTCAACCCCTTGCAATAACCCCTTGCATTGGTCCGCCATCATCTGCACGGAGAATACTAGCAAAATCAAGAGTCAATTTCGACTTGGTCAAGAAAATATGACTTAAAGGCCGACTCTGAGTAATTGGCCTGTGAGATTTGAGCTTCTCTGATGCGGCGGTACGTCCCTTGCGGACTCTTTACTATCCAATAAGAACGTTGTCCGCCAAGGAACTCATGTCACTCACTTGTTGCAGTTCCCGATAACATAATCCTCTCGAAAGTCTCAAATGATCTTCAAAAGCAGTCGGCCGTCCGTGCCTTCGAGGCGCTGCCTTCCTTACAGGCTCCCTGGCTGTTCCTATTCCAGACCATGGCATCTTCAGAAATTCCAGAACAAACGGCAGGTCAAGTCTGCTCCAGATTGCAGCAGTACACAACGAAGACTTTTATGGGGTAACAGTGAGCCGCCACAACACTTCGGACCAAAATCCCGGATACCGGATCTCTTCGAGAGAAAAGATGAAATGCATTTGAAACTTGCAACTCAGCAATTAGAATGGCACGAACTCCCACCACCACATCACCATGATATGTTAGAGGCAGCGGCAAGGGTCGGACGCATTGAAGAGCGCATTCAGTACACCTTCAGAAACAAAATATTATGCGTAGAAGCATTGAAGGTCACGACATCGAACTCCCCTCTATTTTTCAAAGGTATAATTCATAAAGTTAAACAGAACAATCGCCTGGCATTGCTAGGCGATCGAGTACTCAGCATGGTTTTGTGTGGTATATGGTACAGTACAGGATACTCACCAGGTGTGTTTAACGCGCAGCTTATATAATTCACACTGACACTCCGGATAGCTCATTGTAGGCGATCTTCTACCAACGTCACGTGAGACAATGTCTAAGCTTACATATCGTATAGACACGAGGATCCATGACGCGACAGCAACACAATCCGGGCTGTACTCAAAGGCCCGTAAGCTTGGTATAGACAGAGAAGTCCTAATTGGCGAAGGGATGTATACTCCATCAGTGAGGCAAATCGCTGAGAGCTTTGAAGCTATACTCGGGGCTGTCTACGTGGATTCTGATCACAGCCTCGAAACGGTAAAGCAGGTTATCAAAAGTATTGACCTCGATAAACACGAATTCTTGAAGGCACCGCCCGAAGCACATCTTGACCTACAGGACTTTAAAAAGAAATACATCGTGTATCAGGAGGAAGAGCTACTGTTCGAGGAAAGGATTAGATCTCTGGAGCACGAGGCAGAAGAAATTCAGAAGTATTTGAGAGATGCTGAACCCTCCATCACAGGTGTGCCAGGGGCGAAGCCCACCATCAGCCCCGAAGCGCAGTTTGCTATCCGCAGAGAGGCTGCGAAGCTGGAAATCAATGCAAGGCAGTTATGGAAAGAAGTCAGTCAAGCTGCTACTTCTTCTGTCGGCAGTCTTGTCAAAGGAGACGTGAGGAGAAGGACAAAAATTATGATCAATACGGCATCAGCGTTGCAAAGTGAGATGAATCACTCTGATGGAATCGTTGAAGAGCAGTCAACTGAGGAACCTGCTATTGACACTACGACCACTGATGATTTGGATCCAATCGTAAGTGCATATGAAGCAGTTGCGAAGCCAACCAACTGCTGAATCCTCGAGATTGTTTCAGTATATACTAGCTAACAAGGTCCTTTTAAAGAACGAGAACCCGCCACTCGACGAGTCTGCACAAGGTGGCACTCCAGAAACAACGGAAAAGCAGCCAAATTCACCAACCTGCCTCTTCCCGAGTGAAAACAGCACAGATGATACACCAAAGTTGGCCATTTCAGCTTCACAAAAACCGTCGGCAATACCAGCTGATTCCCTACTGCCGAAGGATAGCAATGCTACTATCATAACTCTCATAGCCGAGTTCGACGAAGTTATCAAGCAACATAACACATTAAAAAAGAGAAAAATAGGAAAGCCGTCCAACAGGGTATTGGGTATCAAGATTGTCGCATGGAAGAATGCATTGCACAAAACAAGCGTTCTCAAGCACCGAGGCGAATCAGCTGATACACTGGCCATATACGAAGACATGTTGCAAAAATCTCTGGAAAACAGTTTACTTTCCAAACGGAAAGATTTGGCTGTTCGACAGAAAAAGACTCTATCACAAAAAGTCAAGCCAGCAGTATCTCTGGAGGTTGAAAAACCTACGACCTCAACACCTGTAATAGAAGAAACCAATCTTGCAAAAGAGCAAGACCAAAATCAAGACCAAGGCCAAAAACAAGAAAAGAAAAGATTGACACCTGCTCATAATGGACATGAGAAGGAAAGCAGAGAATTTGTGGAGAGCGTTGAGGATCTAGAGCGAACCATCAGCGAATTCCACACTGCCACATGGGAAAGCACCAACAAAACTGCAGAACGGGTTCCACAGCATGTGTTATGGAGGCCCTTCCATAGCCGTCAAACGGGTACTAAAGTCCGTGACCGAGTTCGGAAGACTACGTCCCCACGCCAAGGCAAGACAACATCAGAAGCCCCTCCTCGGACTTGGAGCATTCGGAAACCAAGAAAAATTCTGATTCGGTCTCAGACCTCTCCCAAAAACTTTAGACCATCAAATTTTCCGTCTCGCCCGACGTCTAGAGATCGTGCGGATCCGTGAGCGTGGGGTCTGAGTTATGATGGAGTTGTGGAAGGGAGGTCGGGGTAGTCTTCGGTGCTCTTAGTTTATACATTTTCAAGGTGCCTCAGTCGTGGGTACGTTTCACGCATGGTGGGTATCATATATCGTTTTCATCATTACCTTTTCTGTATGAAGAGTACTTGTATGTACTAGGGCTTTTATGAACACAACAATGGAAGTTTAATGATTTGTACGATATACGTATTGCTACGCTTGTTGCAATTGCCAGTCAGCATTTCCAGTGTCCAGGATCACTTATTGACAAACGACATTTCATTCAACCCTCTTTCTCATATACAGAGCTGTTGCGGAGGCACACCATGAATATCATCAACATCACCAGCGCCTCACCCCCCCCCCCCAACTTCCACTGCCGAGCAGCACCGTCGGAAACGGGTGTCGATCAGGCCCCTAGATCGGGTACTGTAGATCAGATTAGCACCAGGGTTAGCTATGACCTCAGCCCATCGATCTCGTATCACATTAGAACTCTTCATCTCAAACACCACTTCAAAAAAAAGATACATACATATATAACAAATGTACGCATACAAACTATACATTTCCATACACCCCGTTTTACAACTGGTCCAACAACCCCACAACCTCACCCCTAAGCCCCTCAACCCCAACATTCCTCACAACTCCCAACCTCCTACACTGCACCTCCACCTCCCGACTCTCCTTCCAGCGCTTCCCCAGCACAACAACAACCGGATATCCAATCAAATCTGCATCCTTCATTTTCCAACCGAGATTCTTGCCAGAACGATCATCTAGCACTACATCCACTGCCCCCTCCCCATCTCTTCCAGACAACATGTCGTAAACGTCGTGAACGTCTTTTTCCTCTGCTGCCGGGGAACTCAGCACAACGACTTCGTAGGGAGCAATGGCGCGGGGCCAGGATAATCCTTTGGCGTCGGACAGGAGTGATGCCACAGCTCCAATTATACGGGATACGCCGATGCCGTGGCAGCCCATTTGGATGGGGGAAGAGAGGGATTGGTCGGGGAGCGCGACGACAGCGTTCAAGGGGGCGCTGTAGCGCGTGCCGAGGTGGAAAGTGTGGCCTATTTCGATAGCTTTCTGGACGTCGAGTTCGCCTTGGGTGCAGCGTGGGCATGAGGCACCAGGTTTGGTGATTGTGAGGTCGATGTTTGAGGAGTTGGAGGATAGAGAGCGGTCGTATAGGTCGATGGTGTTGGTTGCTTTGGGGAGGAGGGTCGAGAGGGTCGAGGACTCGATTCCTGTGTCCATATCTAGGTCTGCAGGTAATGCTTTTTTCACAGCATGGAGGTTGATGAATGCGGGGGCTGTGTCCCAGGATACTGTGTCGCTTGCTCCTACATCAGAAGGCCGTGGGATATGGATGTTGATTGCCGTCTTCTTATCTATGCTTATGCCTGTGAATCTCATAGCATCTCCTGTATTTGGCGTGCTATCAGTCTTCTTCTCTACGAGCTCTTCATTTGCCACATAGTCGCATGAGTTACATGACCATACATTGTCCTCGCCTTTTGGTGATACAAAGTGATACTCATGACTTAGTTTGCCACCCATGTTTCCAGAGTCGGCATCGGCGACCAGGTAAGGAAGCTTGAGCTCCTTGAAGAGGTTGTTGTATGCTTCCCGGACGGATTCATAAGTGTTCAAAGCAGCTTCCTGCGAGTGGTCGAATGTGTACAAATCCTTCATCGTGAACTCTTTTGCTCGAAGTAATCCTTGTCTCGGCCGTCGTTCGTCGCGGTACTTGCGGCCTATCTGATACAGTCTCAATGGCAGATCCTTGTACGAATGTACCATACTGGCAACAAGAGCTGTGACTTCTTCTTCATGAGTCGGAGAGAGCAGAAACCCGGATTCTTTCCTGTCTTTGATGCGAAGGAGTTCCGAGTTTGCGGAATACCGGCCGGATTGCCGCCATAATGTTTCAGTGGTAATAGTAGAGAGCGAAAGTTTCGAAGCGCCTATAGAGCCCATATGCTTGTCTATAAGTGCTTCAAGTTTGTTTTGCACACGCAGACCTAGTGGCAGAAGATGGAAGACTCCTGAATGTGCCTGCACGTGATGAGTCGGAAGGTTGAGACTGGGGACAGGGTGGTGAGATTACCTGGCGCAAAAAGCCGCTGCGTATGAGCAGAGATTGCGACTCATCTTATCATTTGGTCAATGTATATTTTGCATAGAGTACTGAAATTGCTTACCTTGCTCCCCGTCTTGTGGTGAGATTCCGCCAGTTGGTGCCCAAAATTTGGATAGCCGATTTCTCGAATCGGTCTGGGTTAATCGTTAGTTTGAACATATATGAAACCTGTAAGACGCGAAATATCCTACAGCTATGTACCTAGTGTTCCGGCAACTCTGAATTAGTGTTCTCGATATTCGCGGTTGCCGTAAAGTTTTCCACATTTGAGTCGCCATGCCCGCACGGCTGAGGAATTAGCCTCGGTGAAGGTGTAACAAAAATTGGAAACGTCTGGGTATGACGTTAGAGACTAGAAGTACAGTAAGTTTGAATGTACTTCAAGGACAACCTGCAACTGCTAAGAGCCGCCGTCGTGAGATACCAAGCACGGACCACCTCCGAACCTGAAGGCATGGAAATATTTGGACAAACAACTCGACGTCCATTGCGACACGACAACAGCCCATGTAAGTACCGTACCTCGACTATAGAGACAATATCTCTTCCTATAAATACTAAATGTATCAGAATGCCTCCACGGATACGCATACGGCCACGGGCCCTCTGCGCCTGCACCTCACGCCCCAACCACATCATCTCTCTTCCCGCAATCGCAACCTACGCCTCGGTTGCCGCAGCCTCAGCAACTACCCCCGCCCCGCCAATCCAGCAGACATACAAAGCCACAGCGCCAGTGCTACGGTACCCGCCCACTCAACCGCCCTCTCACAAGCCGCCAGAGGTCCGCAAGACGCAATTGCATCGACAATACCAATCGCTACTCAAATCGTCGCCCTTGATCCTGATTTTCCAACACAACAATGTCAAGGCTGTGGAATGGATGAGTATACGACGGGAGCTCGCTATTGCGTTGAGAAAGCTCGATGCGCAGCGAGCAGCCAACGGAAAGGAAACACTAGCCGACGAGATCAAGATGCAAGTCGTGCAAACCAACATCTTCGCAAGCGCATTGAGGGTAGTTGAGTTCTTCCACCCAGAAGAAGCCACTCTGGATCACGCACAACATCCCACCGACCCCCGCACAGCGACCAGCGCGCAGATACCGCAGACCAGCAACCAAGCCGACGATGAGTGCTTCACACACGGCCTATCAAGACGAGCCCACGAAATAGCCAATAACCGCAGGCTAAAGCTAGAACTCGAACCTCTCCTCGCCGGCCCCGTTGCCGTCGTCGCCTTCCCCGCCGTAACACCTGAATACCTCAAAGCGGTCCTTTCCATCCTCTCACCCTCAAAACCCGACTTCCCCGCCCCAACCCGCAAGGCGAACCCCGACTACTATGAGCCCGCTGTGCAAGCTGGACTGCAGAAACTGATGCTACTGGGCGCACGAGTCGAGGGCAAGGTGTTTGACGTCGAGGGTGCCAAGTGGGTTGGCGGTATCGGCGGCGGCCTTGACGGTCTTAGGGCACAGCTCGTCCACATGCTGCAGGGCATTGGGGGTAGTCTTACCAATGCGCTCGAGGGCGCGAGTAAGAGTCTCTACTTTACGGTTGAGGCGAGACGGATGGATATGGAGGAGAAGGAGAAGGGGCCCGAAGAGAAGAAGGAGTAAGGTAGCATTTTATGCTGTACATGTATGTTTGGTCCGAAATGGAAATGTAGAAATACTTTTTGTACAGAACGAAAATTTTGAATCGCATCTACATTCCCTAATGTGTGAATGCTTTTCCAGAAAACGTTCCCATGACGTTGATATCACATGTACTACTTTTTTTATTAGTTGTCTTGCAGCAGCACACACACACACACACACACACACACACACACACACACACACACACACGCGTGGCGAGTACCTGGATCTTGTATTGCTTTCATCCTTCTTTTTCCCTTTCTTCCCGTCGCATTCCGTTCCGCAAAAAAAAACAAGGAAGGAACTGTTTTCCAAGAAGAAAAGAGAAGAAAAAAACAGAGTCTTACTGGTCGTTTGAAACTGACAACATCCATGCCCATAAACATACCAAGCCGCTTCAAACACGTTGAAACTTGTTTTTTTTCTCTTTCTCTTTCTTTCCCCTTCTTATTATTCTTTTCACGGTTTTCAAGGGAAGCAAACTTTTTTTGACTTAGTTTGATATCATTTTTCTAAAAACTAGGATATAGGAAGGCACATTAGAACAAAGAAAACAGATATTTGTTTAATTTGTTTGCCGTGACATTCCCAAGGGTATCATGAGGGTATAAAAAAAGGTTGTTTTGCTTTCCCCTTTTTCTTTTCCCAAAATATGCACAATGTCGAAGTAGGTTATTTGGCGGATGTGGGTGTAAAAAACCCCCCTTTGACTTCTCCTGCGTCGGAGGAAAGAAACCCCAGAAGAGTTGGTTTGCCGGGGGGTAGGTGGGTAGGAAAGCGGAAAACAGAGAGCGGGAAGGGAGGGAAATAAAGGGGTAGGAAGGGAAATGATGAAGCAGTTTCCCTCACCCCTGCCCCCCTTCCCGCTGGTAAAACAAAAGCTTTCCCATACATACACACTCTCTCACACGCACGCGCACGCGCAGCAAACAAAAAACACAAAAAGCAAGCAAAAAGGAAGACCAAACTAGACTCAAAGTCGACATCCTGGCACCCCAATCTGGTTCTCCCCTCCCATGTATGAAATGTAAAGTAGGTATAGGAATATCATGATCGTCATACCGTTTGCTTCGCCTCGTTCGATCGATCGTTTTTTCGCTGCGCATTATGCCAATAGGAAATGGTGGGTTGTTGTTATTGTTGTTGTTGTGATGTTTGGTTGTTATTGTTGGTGTATAGGGGTGCTGGTACCGG